CCCCCCCCGCCCCCCCCCATCCTCTGGATCCCTCCAGGCCCAGGGTAATTAGAGCCCCCAGCGATTGGGGCCCGCAGCCGCGGCGGGAGCACGGGGAGAGGGGACACGAGCAGGGCGCGGGGGGACGTGAGCAGGGACAGGCGTGGAAGGGGCCGGAGGGCTGTGCTGGGAAAGCCGTGGGCCACCCAGGGTCTCACCTGCGGGGCAGCGAGGCATCCCAGCCCCAGCCCGGGCAGCGCCGGCAGCAGCCGTGGCGCAGGCAGGGTCACCAGCAGCAGCCCGAAGGGGTGGCTGAGCTGCAGGACAACCCCAGCCGCTTGGCAGGAGTGAAGCAGGATAAACCGCTCCGGCTGACGGCAGATCCAGCCGCCCCGCACCGACGGTGGGACCCAGCGAGCAGCAGCACCATGCCACAGCCCCGGGCCAGCGCGGCTGCTCCCACGGCGTCGCACGCGGCCGGGCCAAGCCCGTCTCCCCAGTCCTCCCGGGGTCTTGGCACAGCCGGCTGCCTCATGGGCATCTCTCCCCCACCAGTTTTCAGATTTCATTCCAACAAGTCCGTCTGCTTCCCAGCGGCTGTTTCCTCGAGTCCCTCCAGCGAAGGAGTGGGACGCAGCGGAGGTCACGGCACGGGGTGTGGTGACACTCTGCTCCTGGACACCTGGGATGTGGCTGTTCAAGAGCACGTGTTGCCCTGCAGCCCTGCCTGGGCGCAGCCGGGATGGGGAGAGCCGCGCAGGAGGACGCGCTCGGCCAAAACCCGCCCGGCTGTGGGTGCACGGTGGGATGTATCGAGCCCGCAGATGCAGCGGCCGAGGCCTTGGGGACATGAGCACTGGCTGGTGACGAGGGCATGAGCTCCCCGGACCCAGGAGCCCCAATAACGCTGCGGCCGGGCCAGAATAAAGGGTATACTGGAAAATGGAGTCCTTGTGGGCCGGCCCCAGCCCCGCCGCCCCAGTGCCAGCCCCGCCACCCCGGTGCCAGCCCCGCCGCCCCGGCACTGCTTTGTGTTCCCTC